GAGTGGTGGGATTACAGGCGTGCGCCACCACACCCGGCTAATTTATTCTTAGTGTTTCTGTGTTCTGAGGGGAGGAATGCCAGCGTTTGGGAGCCTTGCTGACCAGTTAGGTCACGGAGCTGAACAGCAGGTTCTAGGTGCTAATGCTTTCGTTTGTTTTGCTCACATCAGAGAGTGACTCAGGCGTCTCCGCTGCAAGTCCCTAACCCGTCCTGGATGCACCACCAGTCATACCTCGTGCCGCCCTCCGTGAGTGACCACACTGGGCAGGGCCAGGCAGGGGCGGGAGGGGAGCAGTGGGCGTGAGTTCCTTCCGGCTCAGGCCCTTGGGCAGCCCAACTGTGAGCCCTCACTTTTTTGAGGGGTGCGGGGAATCGAACTCAGGACCTTGCGCTTGCCAGGCAGGCGCTGTGCCTCTGCGCTAGATCCCCGGCCCTCACATTTTGTTACTGGGCCCCTCCAGACTGGGGGACAGCGAGCCTGTTCCTGCTGCGAGCTGGGCTGCTGCTCAGGAAGGCTTTGAATTCCCAGGGCTGGGGAATGTCCGTCTGCTGGGTTCCGGTCATTGCTTTAGGACGCAGCCAGTGACCTCCCCTTGTCGTTGCCTCAAGGGTTCCGTCCTGACACCGGGCATGGATCACCCCATTTCTCTCCAGCCAGCCTCCGTGATGGGACCCCTGACCCAGCAACTGGGCCACCTCTCGCTCAGCAGCACGGGCACGGTAAAGCAGGGCTTTGTGACGGTAGAAGCCCAGAGCGGGGACCCCTGAGGCGGGCAGGGCTGCTCCGCAGCACTGCTGGGCGCCGGGACGAGCACATCGTGTCAGTTAGACAGACTGCAGGCCCAGCGTGGTGGCGCACGCCTGTCATCCCAGCAGTCGGGAGGCTGAGGCAGGAGGATCCTTGCGAGTTCGAGACCAGCCTGGGCTACAAAGTGAGCTCAAGGCCAGCCTGAACTGCAGAGCGAGACCCTGTCTCAAAAAGACAAAAAACAAAACAAAAACAATGCAAAGATCACCCATGGGCCAGCGCAGCCCTCCGCTCCCCAGCCCACCCCCGAGCTGCCTCCTACTCACAAGCTAAGTGAATAGTGTTCTGTGTGACTTTCTAAATTATTGTACAATTTTTATTTGTACGTTTGCAATACATGATTATTCTGTGTATTAATTTAACAATTAATACTCATTCCCTTATCAATATAGTAATAGGAAGAAAACTTTAAGTTTCTTTCAGGCATGTGCAATTCGGACTTGCAGGAATGCTTAAAGGCAGGGAAGGCAGGGTGTGAGGAAGAGCAGAAGGCCAGCAGGAAAGAGCAGGAAAGGCCAGGAGTGGTGGCACATGCCTGTGATCTCTGCAGCCGGGAGGCTGACGCAGGAAGATCACTGAGTTTAATGACAGTCTGGGCAATACAGTGAGTTCAAGGCCAACCTGACTCAAAAAAGAAAAGAAAAGAAAAACTGCTGGGTGTGGTGGCACATGCCTGTAATCCCAGCACTCGGGAGGCTGAGGCAGGAGGATCTTTGTGAGTTCCTGGGCTACAAAGTGAACTCAAGGCCAGCCTGAACTGTGTAGCAAGACTCTGTCTCAAAAAGAAAAAAAAAAGAAAAGTAAAAAAAATAAAAAGGAAAGGAAGTTACCTCGGTATCCTAGGGAGAAGCATTTCTAAGGCAGTATATTTTGGAGTGCTTTTTTTTCCCCTTGAGACAAGTCTCACTGTGTATTTAGGCCACCCTTGAACTCAAGCCTACCCTCCTGCCTCAGCCTCCCAAGTGCTGGGACTTCAGATGTGCACCGCACTGGAAGTTCTCAGAATGCTTTGAAGATCCTAGTGCCCAGGTGAATTAAAGCAGCCCCTCTGGAGGCGAGCACTGCATCAGGATATGTGACAGCTGCCCAGGTCTTATAGGTACCAACAACTGTAAGGCCGAGCCTGTCGATGTTTCCATCCTAGTATGTGCCGACAGCTGCAGCTATGCATGGAGCTTACGTCTCCCAGTACGCACCCGTGCCTGCTTCCAGCGTTTCCGTGGAGGTAAGAGCGTCATTTCTCTGGAGTGAGGACGGGACAGTGGCAGAGGCAGATCTCCCCTGGTTCACGGTCTTCCGCTCCCAGTCCCGCTGATTCTGTGTTCACAAATAGCTGTAGGTGTATGAGGACCGCGGGAAGGAGAGACTTAACCTGCCCTCAGAGAGAATGAGGCCCTTTGCACATGTGGTCACCAGCAGCGAATACCAGGATGCTGCCTCGCGTTGACTAGCGAGCCTTGGGAAGAGGCCAGGCTGCTGTAAACCTTGAGGGACTGCTGCCCGGTGTGGCAGTGCAGGACTATAATCCCAGCGCTCTGGAGGCTGAGGCAGGAGAGTTGCCAGACGTTCAAGGCCCACCTGGGCTACATAGTGAGACCCTGTCTCAAAAAACCAAGACCCCAGAATGCAGAGGGACTGCTGAAGTGCTTTCCAGAGTGGCCACGCCATTTTAGTCCTTCCAGCGGCGTGCTGCTTGCTGGGGGTGCGCCCACACGTAAGGGGGGTGTGGGGGCCGGCGAGGCCCCTCAGTTCTGGGGGTTTTAGCCAGGCTGCTTCTGCGGGAGGCCAGCAAGGGAAAGCGGAAGCTGACTCCCTCTCGGCTGTGGCGCAGGAGAACAGCGGCCACCAGAGCCAAGCGGCGGTGGAGACGCCCTCGGAGCCCGGGGTCTACGCCTTCCAGTTCAGCAAGTAGCGCGGTAAGCTCAGCCAGCGCGCGGCCCTTGGTCCGCTGCCCTCCCTGCGCCGCGGCCGGGCTCTGGGGCTCCTCCCTGTCCCTGCTGGGAAGATGTGAAGCTTCGGAGATGCCGCAGACCTTGGCGGTCCGCTCGGCGACAGGTGACAGCCGCCGCGGCCTCCTGTTGGGCTGCTGTGCCGTCTCTAACCCATCGCAGGCGCAGCCTCGGGAACCGGGGCTTGTGTGTGTGCTGCGTTCAAGGAGATGAAACTTTTTTCCCTTCGGCAAAGAATGTTTCTGCTTCGTTAAAGTTGTATTAAACTTTCCGCCTGCCTTAGGCGGGGCGGCTGCTGCGCGCCTCCCCAACCTTTCCCCTGCGTTCCGGGGACTGGGGAGACCTTCAGAGGTTTCCTTATGATTTCTTTAAAAAAGAAAGAGAAAGATGTGGTGCTAGGCAATTGGTGAAGCAGGGACCACTCACTACTTGCTGAATTTAGTTATGGAGTTTTAAAAATATGTATGTATATATTTCAGAAAATAGACAGGTTTGTTGATTTATTTTTTGGTACCGGGAATCAAACTCATGATCTTGCGCTTGCTAGGCAGATGCTGTGCCGCTGAGCTAAATCCCCAGCCCTCCTTTGTTTTGTTTTTTGGGACAGGCTCGCTGCATAGTTCCCACTGCCTCTGAACTCACTATGTAGCCCAGGCTGGCCTCGGACTTGCGGCAATCCTCCTGCCTCAGCCTCCCGAGTACTGGAATTGCAGGCGTGCGCCACCATGTGGCTATAGGCAGAATTGTACAATTTTGTTTTTGTAAAGCGCTCAGTTCCCACACCTCTCTTCACACACACACCCCTTGTCTTTTTTCCTCTCAAGATTGTTCTTTTCTCTCTCCCATACAGCCGAGCCTGCCTGCTTACCCCCTCACAGTTTTTAACTTCGTGAACTTCTTGGAATGAAATTTCGTGTGGAGTGTGGGGTGGTGCTGGCGAGGAGCGAGCTAGAACGCTGAGCCGCCGCGCAGGCGGCCTTCCGTCTGCCCCAGGAGGGCTGTGGGCGCAGAGACGACCGCACGGCCTTCGCAAGCCGCCCGTGCGCCAGGCGCGGCTGAGGAGCAGCCTTTCCCGCGGTGCGGACGGCGCCCTGTGCGGAAGCCGCGGGGCCCTGCTCGGCCCTGAGGACCGAGGGGCTGCGCCCCCGCTGGGAGCCGAGGCCGCGTCTTCACCCGCGGAGCGCGGTTCTGGGCCGGGGTGGCTTTGCTCCCCAGGGCCTGTGGTCCTGGCCGGGACGTTTCTGACGGCCGTGCCTGGGCCGGCGCGCGTGCTGCGGGCAGACCCACCGTGCGCAGGGCACCCCCGCGCCCCGGCGAGGAGTCGTGCCCGAAGTGCGTGGTGCCAGGGCGGCGGCCTCGGATGCAGACCGCGCCCCTCGCGTTCCCGGGTTCTCCGTCGGCCCGTCCGCGGCGGAGGCCTTGCCGAGGCCGGCCGGAGCGCTCCGCACCGCGCTGCCCCGGAGAACCGGGACCTCAGACATCGTTTTCTGGAGCTGGCTGTGTTGGCGCAGGCCGATTATCCCAGCACCTGGGAGGCTGAGGCAAGAGGACTGCACGTACAAGGCCAGCCTGGGCTACGCGGGATAGACCCTGCCTTGGAGAAAACCAAAGAGAGCGAGCTTCCTCCTCGGGAGGGACAGCGGAGCGGGACCGCGACCCCACGCCCGCCCCGCGCTTCCTCTCCCGGAGACCGGCTGCGCTGGAGGCAGGACGGAGGGCCCTGCCCGTCTCCCCGAGAACTGCGCCTCTTGCGGCCTTTCGGCTCCACCGGGCACCGCCGCAGTGGGACGAGCGCGCGGCCGAGGGTGTGGCGGGGCCTGGCAGGCGCTGCGGGCAGAGGCGACAGCGGAGGTGGCTGCAGCTCCCGCTCAGCAGCGGCGCACAGGTCTTCCTCCGCGCAGGGCTGAGAGGCCTGTCTTCCCTTTGCCCTCTGTCCGCCCGTGGGGTCAGGGGGTGGGGCTGGGGCAGCGAATGGGACTGAAAAACTGAGGACCAAAATCGGCCATTTCCCCCTTGGTGCTTCCAACTGCAGAAGAGCTTATTCCGTATAAGAGCCCCACTCAGTATCCCGCTAGGGTTCGGCTGGACAAACGGCTGTCTCTGAGTTCCGCACTGTCAGTAAAGGGAAGTCTACCACAGCTACCGGCTGGTCAGCGGCCCTTGTTTGTAGCAGGGTCTTACCGTGTAGCCCAGGCTGGCTTCAAATTTCAGAGGACCCTCCTGCCTCAGCCTCTGAATGCTGGGGTCACATGTGTGCTGTGACCACCACTCCCGGCTGTCAGTGGCCTTAGAGAGAGAAAGCAAGGCCAGAGCTGTGTCCATTTGACAAGGGCGGGGGGCTGCTGCTGACCGGCTCACCGGGGCACCTGTCCTGATGGAAGCCGCCCGTGGCACTCCTGCCCCTCCTCCGCCTCCGGGAACTCTTGCTTCTGTCTTTTTGTACCTAAAAAAGTGTTTAAATGACTGTAGGTTTTTTGGTTTTGTGTTAAATGTTGAAGTTCCTTCTGAGGGTCTGCGTGACTCTACTTGCTAGGCTGTGCTCGTGGGAGACCGGCGTGGCCGGGTCGGGGCGTGGCAGTGAGCAGGAGCCCCGGCTGTTGTAACGGTCAAGGGCACACAGGAGGTTCTTTAGGTGCTTTTCGCTGGAAAACAGCCCTGTTTCTCCCGTCGTTGAGTCCAGTTCCGGGAAGGGGGGCTGGGACGGAGGGCAGTGATGGGGCGCCGCTGCTCCCGTGAGCTGGCGGCGCTGCAGCGCCCCTGAACCCCGCTCCCACTCCCCTGTGCCTCTCGGCCCGAAGCCTTACAGCCGATACTGTTGTTTGGGGGCGGCTCTGGGGAGTGAGCCCGGGGCCTCTGCTACATCCCCAGCCCCTTTTTATTTTGAGACAGCGCCTCGCTGAGTCACTAAATTGCCCAGTCCGGCTGTGGCTTGAGACCCTCCTGCCTCAGGGTGCCGGGTTGCCGGGTTACCGGTGGGCACCCCCGAGCCCGGCCGGGGCTGAGAGCCGCCTTCAAGGGTGCTGCTTTTCAGGCAGACGCCCCAGGACCGGGCAGCGCTGCTCCGCCCGCTGCGCAGGCTGAGGGCCTTGCTCGGAGGGCCTGGGGCCGAGGGGAGCGCCTGCACAGCCGAGAGCGAGCGCAGCCCCCGCCGTCCTCGCCCGGCCTGCCGCACCCCCGGTCGCCCTGCCTTAGCCGGGAGCACCCCCCGTGGGCGGCTGCCGGAGCCGGCCGTGGCTGGGCGTGGCCCTGAAACCCTGTGCCAACGGCTCGGTTGTGTGCGGCCCATCTTTATTAGCGGGCTCCTGAAGTTCAGGGGGCTTTTCTGCTGCCTTTTCTTTCTTTTTAAACAATGGGCATCATTCTTTTTTTCCGTACCAGGACTCCAACCCAGGGCCTTGTGCTTGCCAGGCCGGCGCTGTGCCGCTGCGCTGTGCCCCGGCTGGCGTCGTCCTGCTGCTGGGCTCGAGCCTGGGGCCCAGCACGTGCTTTGCCGCAGCCGCCCGCGGCGCTCCGCCACCCGCCGGGCCTTCCCTTCCGAAGAGCAGCGCTGTCTGCCGCAGCTCCTGCAGGGGCTCCGCCCCGGGGCCTCGCCGGCCCACCACCCCCCGCGCGCCTCTGCCCCTGTTACTTTATCTACCTCACTGTCCCACGGCAGCAGGGGCATAAGCGCCTGGCGCTACTGGCCTTCTCTCCCCGAGTTAGGAAGCTGGGGGCTGGAAAGGCCTCGAACAAATGCACAAACTCCGGCTGTCTGTCTGCAGAGTTGGCTCCCTGAGCACCCTAGAAGGCGCGGGCCGGAGTCGCCCTGCACCAGACTGCTCTGTGGCCGCCGCGGGGCTGAGGAGGTAACCCAGCACCCAAGGGAGCTCGTGGCTTTCACAGGGCGGGAGGCAGAAGCTCCTTCTCTAGCGCAAGGCCCAGGTGGCTTCCGGCGCTCAGGAGACAAAGAGCCGGGGGGTGTGAGACCTTCCCAGCCCGAGAGGACCCTTTCCGCCCCTCCTGCTGTCCGAACCCCGAACACGCGGGCGGCTCGCAGGTGGGGCTGTCGCATGCACTCGTCACCCCGGGACGAAGGAAGTTAATTTATACTTAAAACACATTTTGTACATTTTTTCTTACCCAGAGATGTCTAGTTTTATACTCTTCTGTGTCTACGCCAATGCTGCCCTTTCAGCGCGTGCTTCCTGGACCCCTGGTCTGCCCGGTTTTCCCTGTAATTTGATAAGATTCATTTTGTTATTATTATTTTTTTTTTTTCTTAAAAAAATAAAACACGAAAGGCTGTGTGTCGGTGTCTTTGCACAGGTGGGAGGGAGACGCTGGCGAGGGCCCCTGTTGCCCACGGGAACACAGGTGGCAGCTCACAAGGCTGAGGCGCATCTCCCAGGGAGGTGGAACCGATCCCACCTCACCCAGCACCTCCGTCAGACTGCTAAGGCAGAACTGTACCTGTTCCATCCACGCAAAAAGGGTGAGACAGGAAGCCTGCCTGCAGATGCCTTGTGCTCAGACAAGGCCAAACAGGGAGGTTTCAGGGTAAACCTGTTTTGTTTTTGACACGGGGTCTCACTGGCCTTGAACTCACTTTGTAGTCCAGGCTGGCCCCACTTACGGAGATCCTCCTGCTTCAGCCTCCCAAGTGCTGCGATCACCACCATGGCAGGTATAAACCTGTTATGCTAAACCCAACACCCAGGTTCCCGCTTGGTCGATCTGTGTGAGAACTATGCTAAAGGGAAGAGAAATACACAGAGTCTTTTTGAATCTCTATCAAATGTGGTTTTTATTCAACTGACAAGCACTTTTCTACAGCTGCACTTGTGGAACATCACATGGCAAAAACAGGAGGCTTTTTTCTCTAGACTTTTTTTTTTTAACCTTATTAAAAATGAGATTGGTCCTAAAAATATAGAAAGAAATAAATTTAAATTCACAAAAAACTGTACATTATCAAAAAGTCACTAAAACACCACATTTGGTTATATAAAAAGTCAGTCCCTTTTGCTGTCAAAGGAACATGGGAACTTGGTGTTGACGGTGTGGTTTTCTTGCTGTTACCCGACGGTGGGGAGGGGAGCAGAGGGCGGGGCTGCCTTGTGTCTGCCTTCCCCACAAATACTCTGCCCACAGAGGGGTCCACCCGACTCGGGGCGGTGAGGACGGGGAAGGAAAGTGAGAAACGGCCCCTGTGCCCGTGCTGTCCCCACCCCTCTTGTCCCCAACCCCCTGCAGAATGCCTGGTCCCTCGAGAGGGAGCTGGGACGGGAACGCACAGCAGACAGAGACCTCACCCGCCCGCCCCACCTCCCACGATGAAAATTAATCTACATTCCACGCAGGGAAAACTGCCGCGGGGAGAAAGATGAGCGCCCAACTAGAACAGTTCCGAATGTCTAACACAAAGTTTGTTACAGCGCAGTTATTTAGATAAAATATAAATATTTATGCATAATATAAAGTCAATTCAAATATTCTTCAATCCACCTCTTATTTAAAAGCAAAAAAAAAAATCTCAAATAAAATTAGAAGTTTTGAGGTTTATCTGACAGAAAAGGCGACTTTAGAAACAGGCTCTGGGGGAGGGGACGCACAGGACTGGGGTGCAGCCGGGCCGCCCCGCCCGGTGCTGGTGGGCGCCGCCAGCAGTACTGGAATGATCCCCGCCCGCGACGCCTCAGCCCGCTCGGCGGCGCAGCGCCTCCCCAGTGCAAGTACCCGTAATCTCTGGCGGGAGGCGCTGCGCCGCGCAGGGGCAGGGGCGCCGGCCACGGCCGGGTCGGGCGAGCAGTCCTCCTGCGGGAGCGAGGCTTCACCCGGGCACAGCCGGAGCCCCTCCCGCGCGCCCAGGGGAGAGGAAGGAGCGCGCCTCCGCCCGGCGCAGCAAAGCTCCAGTTCTCTCCCTGCAAACGCGGGGCTCCGAGCTCCTGAGGGCAGTGCGCCTGCTGAGACCGCACGCTTCCTAGAGGCTGGAACAGAAGCGACCCAGAGAAATCGTTCCTGCGGTTTCCCAAAGACACAGAAGCGATGGGACGAGACAATGGGGATGGCGGGAGGAAAAGCAGGTACTTGGGGAAAACGAACGGACCCCGCGGAAGCAGGGTCAGAGCCCCGGCTCGCACGCCACCCACCGCCGCCGCCCCGGGGCCAGTCAAGCGCCAGCGGCCTCGTCTCGGAGCTGCACCCCAACTCAGCAGTAGTTGTCCCTGAGGAGTCCCCGAGAGGGGAGTTGGGGAGCAGTGGGGAGGAGGCTGCGGGCCCGGGGTGCTGCCCCAGCCACCGAGTTTCGGAGAAGGCGGGGACTCGGGCGTGAGGGGCACCCGCCACGTTAGATGGGACAGCTATCAGCAGGAAGATGAGGACCAAGAGAAAAACGGGGACTTCTACATTTTTTTCCTTTGAGGGGAAAAAGATTTGGGGGGGAAAGGAGGGAGGAACCCGTACACAAGAGTTTTACATTATTGGATGAGCGATGTGACGACGCCGAGCTGGGAGGGGAAGCCGAGAGGGCGAGGCGGGAGGGTCTGCACGTGGAAGCAGCATGTCCAGGGCCCGTGTCGGCGACACGCCTGGGTTAAGTCCACTTTACTGGCCGTCACTGCAGGTCCGCACACAGTACAGAGTGTTTCTCGGTTTCACACATTCACTAGAACTATTGCTATTGTTAAATCACCCCAGTAACTGGGGCGTGGACAGGGCGGGGCGGGGAGGCCGGGAGACGGGGAGGAGGAAGTAGGGACTTCTTTTCCCCTCCCCATTTTTAATTAGGAAATAAAACAAAGGGAAAATTATTTTTTCTTTCTTTTTTGGCTTTTCAGTCCAGAAGGACCTCATCTCCACGCCTCTTACTTGAGGAGCAGGAGGAGGAGGGAGAAAGGGGTCTCGGGGTAAGGGGGTGTGGGCGCTGCCAAGGGCAGGGTCAAGAATCAGGTTCTATCTGACTCGAGCCGCCCGGCAGCATCAGCAGGTGTGAATGGCAGGTTCTGTTTGGAAGGTGCGGGAGAAGCCACAAGGCCACTCCGCACCTCCCTCGCCTCAGAGATTGGCCTGTTTTCCCTGATAAAACTCCTCCCAGCGGCTCTCGAAGAACTGGCGCATGATGTGCCCCGCCTTGCCCACTTCAGAGTCGTCCTCGTTGAAGGTCTGGCAGTTGTCAAAAACCAAAAGGGCATCCGCTGCAAACTCCTCGGAGCTGGTGTACCTGGGGGGGCAGAGCCGAGCAGTCGGGAGGAGGCCTGCGGGGCAGCAAAGAGGCGCCAGGGTGTCACCAGCGCCCGCTTACCCTCCCCGGAGCAGCCGCTCCCGCATGGTGGAAAAATCCATCGGGTTCTTGATGATGCGCCGGTAGCCGCTCACCAGCCGTGGGTTCACGGGCTCCAGGAAAGGCCAGGCTGCATCGTGGGACTCCATCTCCATCAGGATAATCCTACCGGTACAGGGACAGCAGCGACTCCATTTCCAGAAGCACACACGCGCGCGCACACACGCACGGCCCCCTCCCAGCCCTCTTCCAGCAGAGGGATCCACTCACTCGCAGAACGTGAGGTCACTGTGGTGGTTCCGCATGGAGAGTCGCCGTCGCTTGGAGGGAGACAGCCCTTCTTCTGAGTACCGAGGTACGCATGACGGGCTCTCTCGGCCCCTGGACAGTACCCGGCGGCGGCGGCCCTCGGCCTCTGCCAAGTTCAGTGAATAACTGCTTTTCCGCTTGTGCCCTCGCTTTGGGAAGCCGGGCTTCTGCGTGAGCTCTTCCTCTACCTGCTGAGCAGGCAACAGGCGGAGATGAGCGATGGCTGAGGACGTGCTCTGCCTACCTCCTGGTTTGTTAGAATCCCTGGGTGTAAGTGCGGCTTCAAAATACCTTCCCACAGAAGCCCACATGCGAATTTACTCAGATAACCCAAAAAGTAGGGGTCACAGGACAGGCATAATTACTCCTGTTTTATAGAGAAGCAACTGAGGCTATAAAATTTAAGTGATTTTTTCCAAATAAAGACCGAATCCAGGTCTCTAACACCCTGAGAGTCACTCTGAGCAGAGGCTGGGGACAAGTGACGTGTGGCTCCTATGGTGACTGGGATGAGTGGGAGCAGACCTTACCTGGGCCAAACAGATGGCGCAGAACCAGTCCCCCTCGGGGACAGCCTCCATCTTGGGCCGATGGCAGTAAATGTGGCAGCCGCGGTCACACCCGTCACAGAGCAGAAGAAACTCGTCGTTGTCGCCCTTCCGGCAGACGAGGCAGGTCTAGACCAAGGTTGTGAGGAGACAGTGAGCCCTCAGGCCTCTGCCTGCATCGTCCCACCACACCGCGGGCGGCCCAGGGCCCTCCTGGCTCTCCACGCCTCTTACCACTTTGTTGACAGACTTTTCCCAGGCGATGGACCGCTCCAGCTGGCCCACACACAGGCACAGCTGGGCCGCGCTCCGGCAGCGCTCCAGTGTCTGGCGCCAGACACGAACCCGGGGGGTGATTTCGTACGAGCTGCAGGGAGAAAGTGGTGACGTGTGGATGAGTGAGGGGGGCTGAGCCTTGCTCCCTGATAGCAAGAACAAGGGCACAGACGTCACTCACATCTCTGTCGTGGTGCCCTCAGGGGTCCCGTTGGGTGAGCTGAGCAAGGCCTTTTCTAGCACCACCTCGTGAGCGGGCCAGAGAGGCTCCCGCAGGTACCGCCGCTCCACATTCTGTTCTAAAGCAGCCAGTCGCATCACGGCGAGGTCCAGAGGGTTGGTACTTTTACGCTGAGGTGCCAGTCCTTCTCTGTTGCGACCTCTCCAGGTGATATCCTCCTGGGAGTCAGGCAGATGCTCACAGTAGGCCAGGTCTTCACGAGTAGAGTCTGGACTAGGACACGTCCAGCCCTTCAGGTGGGAAAGCAGAATAAAACTCATCAGAAAGGAGAAAAAGACCCATTTTAAGGTCATGGGAGGTGAAGTGTGAGCTGAGGGGTTTTTCCAAATAGTGTGTTCACGTTGTGACAGGGCCTTTTTTTGTTGTTTTTTGTCTTTTTGAGACAAGGTCTTGCTAAGCAGTTCAGGCTGGCCTTGAGCTCACTTTGTAGCCCAGGCTGGTCTCGAACTCGAACTCCCAACTCGCTCTTGAACTCCTGCCTCAGCCTCCCGAGTGATGGGATTACAGGCATGCACCACCCGGCTTGGCCTGTCACCGGGTCTTGATATGTACTTTAGGTTGGCCTTGAACTCATGGTGAGCCTCTTGCCTCAGCCTCTTGAGTGCTGAGATTTCAGGTGTAAGCCACCATGCCCCGCTCCAAATAGAGTGAAGGGATGAATGGCCTCTCTTAAACAACTCCCCACCAGTGCCAATCCCAGTATACCCGAATCTGCAGATCAGACAGGATAACCCGCTGTTCCAGATCCTCCACCCACTGAAGCACAGCTAGGTCTGTTTCGTATGTCTTCTCTTTGGGTGACCAGCTCATAATCCCCTCTTGAACGGGAGGTAGCTGACTAGGCTCAAAGATGGGATCTGAGAAGTGAGAACACAGAAGAGGCCCATGGGGCTGTTGGTGAACAGCAGCTCACACTTGCCCTGGGCTCTTCAGTTCAGGCTGGTGAAGGTATCTGCTTACCAGCGGAGGGCCGTGAGCAGACTTCCTGCAAGAAGTTCCTGTGCTTGTGAAGGTGTTTGTGCAGTGCCTTCTCCCGGATGCCTCGGGGGTGCAGGGCCTTGAGCATGGCATCCAGCGTATCAGGATCTCGGATCCACCACCAGCCTGAGCGCATCTCTGAAAACAAGGGATCCACGTTGGTCAAGGGCTGGGAACCAGCTATGAAACACAACGCCCACACCGCGTATCATGCCTGCCTGCACTCGGACCCCATTTCACCCAGGATCTCTCACCAGGGGGGACAGGCTGGGCTGTCAGCTGGGTTAGGTAACGCTGCTCCATCTGTTTGAAGAACTTGCTGGGAGGTCTCCCTCTCCGTTTCGGCTGTCCCAGCCCTGTGGGACTCTGTGGCATTTCTCCAGAGTCTGCTACTCGCCTCTTAGGAGTTGGCCCAGTCAAGGGGGCAGAAGAGAACCGTGCTGGAGAACAGGGGTTGGCAGCACTAGGTCTGTTCATCTGTGAATAATACGAGACATAGGAGGAGGAAGGTATTTTCACGTGTGTAAGTTTCCTCAATTTAACAGTCCCATAGCTAAGCCATGGAGCCTGTGGAAAGATGAAGTCAAGAGCATACTCTTTCTGGCAACTTACTGGCTTAGAGGAGGCAGGAAGCTGAGGGGAAGGAGTGGGTTGGTCCTCAGAAACTGCAGGAGGTGGAGTAGGGGCAGCATTGCAGGGCACCTGGCCTGAGAAGTCTAACCAGGATGCTGGAGGATCAGGGCCAGACTCCACCTTATCAGGTTCCTCCATGGGGTGTGAGAGGGCTGGGTCCAGCTTTCCTGGGCTGCTATCAGGTGTGAGGACCGAGCTACTCAGCAAGGAGCCATGACTCTGAGTCTGGCTCAGCCAAGATAGGAAGGCTGACTGGCTGAGGTCATGCTGGCTCTGACCCAGAGACAAAGGGGAGACCTCTGGCTCCAGGAACTCATCATGGGGCTGGGGCTGGGGCTGGGACTGAGGATCGGGCTGGGACTGGGGCTGGGGCTGGGGCTGGGACTGAGGATCGGGCTGGGACTGAGGATCAGGCTGGGACTGAGGATCGGGCTGGGGCTGGGGCTGCATTGAAGCCTGAGGCTGAAAATGGGGCTGCGCCTTGGGCTGAAGCTGGGACTGGTGGTGTTCTGAATCCTGGCCCTTGAGAGAGGACTTTAGGCTCCTGGGCTGCATAGACCCAGGCTTAGTTTTTCGAGGTCGGCCTCGAGTCCGGGCAGGAGAATTGACAGAGATGCTGGAGCCACTTAACTCTCTCTTCACAGAGAAGAGAGCAGGAGTGGGCACTGGCTGGACCGTCACCTTTAAGGACTCAGTCTCCTGCTTTATCATATCTTCAGGAACTACAAAGAGAAGAATTTAAGACACAAACTGATGTGTAACAGGAAAGAACACAGAAACACATGAGATACTTTCTTTTTCTTTTGGACTTAGTCTTCTTTTTACTAGAGTCCCTCTCTAGGAACAACTCATATGCCAAAGGACAAATTACCTGGGGAAAATCCTGTTTGTTCTAAGTGATCAGCAGCAGCAGTCGCATAATCATAAGCTAACATCTACTGAGAACCAACTATGTCAAGCATTTTTTTTTCCTAATGCTGGGGCTCACACCCAGGGCTTTATGCTGTGGTCTACCACTGACCTACACCCCAAAGGCCTGTTCTGTTAAGCACTATTCTAACAAGAGCACTAACTCTTCTTGATCCCCTTAACAGCCTCAAGAAATACATATTCTATTACTATGTCCACTTATAAACAAAGAAACAAGCATATGGTTGATAAGTGGCATAGCAGGCAGGGAGGGAGTCCTACTCTAGGGCCTGTGCTCCTCACCACTGTTGTTAGACAGGGCTCCGAGGACCGAGGCTTTCACACACACTTACCTAGACTCCCCTCTGTTCCTTCCACAAAGATACCAGCCAAATACGGCAACACCCAGTAGCGGCGTTTGTATCGATCTTGCCCCAGGGAGACTGCTCGAAGCATCTGAGATGAGTGAAGTAGCTTTTTACGAAAGAAGAGCTGACGCTGCATAGGCAGTAGAAAAGGAAGATGATTAAAAAACATTTCTAGATGACGGTGGTGGAATCATCCAGCATATGGGAGAAGGCACAGCTCTCGGTTCCCCTACAGAATTGATACCCAGCTGAGGAGGGGAGCATTTCTTGTCCAGCCCACACCTCCAACTCCTGGGAGATCAGAAGCACAGTACCTTACTGAGTTTTTCTATGTGGCGTTCTAACTCCGGGATGCTAGACGCTACAACATCAACCTAAAGAAAAACAAGGACACGGAGGAAGAGAGGAGTTACCAGATTCTAGGAAGAAAAGTACCTATGTCTCTTTTCTTTTCGCTTCTAAGGACTGAACCCAGGGCCTTCTCACTGACATATATTTCCAGGCTTTTTTTTACTATGAGATTGGGTCTCAAGTAAGCTGCTCGGGCTGGGTTAGGACTTGTGATCTTCCTGCCTTGGGCTCCCAGAATGCCGGGGTTATAGGCGTGAGCCACCATGCCCAGCAACAAATTTTTTGTTTGTTTGTTTGAGACAGGATCTCATTAAGTAGTTCAGCCTGGCCTTGAACTCTATATGTAGCCCAGGCTGGCCTCGGACTCACGGTGATCCTCCTGCCTCAGATTACAGGCGTGCGTCCGGCAAAATGTCTGTTTTCTGACTCCCACTTTTCTTGCTCTTGCGCCAGTACCTCTCCGTCTCTTCGACCCCTTCGGCCATGCACAGCTGCTATCATCTCCTCCTCTTCCTCTTCTTCCATGCCACTGGTTTCTTCCATGATCCTAGAACTGCGCCTCCGTCCCAGGCCTTCCTCTGGCCCTTCCGTCTCTACCTCGGGCCGCCCAGTTCGCTTAGCCAGAGCAGTTTTCAGTCTTGAATAGATGGGCAGTTTAAAGAAAACTGTGGTGAGGGACATCCTACTGCCGCAGCGGGAGTGGGATCTCAACCACTGTTAAGGTCCCCACCCTAGGGAAGGGGCTGAGGGCAAAAGCTGCAGGCAAAACTGCTACACGTCACCCTTTCCCTCTTCTCTCCTCTCTCTGGGCACTGCCCTCTGCCCTCTCCCTACCTCCGGAGCCGGCCTTCAACAATCCACTTGCTTTTCCTACAGCTGGACATGCTCTCCAGGGTCTTGTCAATCTCACTGCAGGGGAATAAAAATCAGGATTTTGAGGTAGAAGCAACAGCACAAAAATGGGAAGGGAGCCGTAAAGGTACAAGGGTGGTAGGGAGTTTCAGCCCAGAACCTAGACAGGAAGAGTGGCAGAGGCAGGCTTAGACTCTCCCAAGAAGGGCACTACCATTCAGTTCCAACTCACCGCACCATCTCCAGAGCTTGGCAGTGGGAACATATCACCCTGGGACTTCTGAATGGCAAACCCCTCTCCCCTCCCACTCTGACAAGGCCCAGAACAACCGTCCCCACCCCAGCTCCTCACTTGATGATGAGGGTGGAGCCGTTGAGCTCGTGCACAAGGAAGGCCAGGACAGCAGCCTTCTGCTGGGGCGGCTGGGCCTGAAAAGGCTGAGTGCGCAGGCTGTCACAGAGGGAGGGCTCCACGCCGTACGCCATGAGGAAGCAGCGCAGGATCTCAGACACGTTGTCTCTCGTCAGTGGGATCTCACACACCTTCTCCCCCAGGATCTTTAGAGACTGTGTAGAGGAGAGAGCATGACGGGAATGAGGAAGCCCAGAGGAGCAACTCACACTGGGTGCACCTGGGAGAAAACTACCAGGTTAAGGTAGAAAAATAAGAAAAGAAGAAAGTTTCTAAAACAAGATGAAAGAAAAAAGTGTGGAAAAAAAAAGGATTAATGCCAGGTGTGGCGCCTGTAATCCTAGCACTTGGGAGGCTGAGGCAGGATTGTGGCAAGTTCGAGGACATCCTGGGCATGTAAGTAATGAGTTCAAGGCCAGCCTAAACTATATAGTGAGACCCTATATAACAAAACAGAAAAAAAAAGATTAAGACACAGGAAATCGAAACAACATAAGGTGTCAGGAAGAAAAAGAAACGGGAGAATATAAGGAAAACAGAAATGGGAAGAAACAACATCCCCCTCTCTTCTCATCACTTTAGTGTCTCTCAGTGTCCTTAAAGAGAAAGAAAAGCAGAGAGAAAGCACTGCACCCCAAGCCCTCCCGCCTGCCCAGGAGAGCTCACCTGGCAGTAGGACGGCAACCCAGGATCATACAGCGCAGCCTTTAGGAGCCGTACCAACAGGTCTTGCACCTTGCCCAAGCTGTCACCCTGACACAGGAGTCCCTCCTGCAGGACCCCCAGGCTAGGCACATCTTTGGTAGGGTCAAAGCCCAGCACTTTGCCGAAGCTGTGCAGGAATTCCACAATGGTCAAGCAGTCTGAGAAAGCCCTACTGGGCAGCGTCAAACCAGGGATGCGTGTGAACTCAGGCAGGGGCTGGAGGGATGGAAGTGGGAGTGTCTTGTTAGGACTCAGCAGGAGGCAGCCATAAGGCTCTCCATGAGGTCCTCCCTATAGTAGAGATGTCCCCACAAACGGCCCCTCCCCTGTGACCCTAGAACCATTTTCTCCCCCCACTACCTGGTGGTCAGCTAGACACATATCCTCTGTGGGCTTCTTCATCTCCTCCAAGATCATCTGCTGCCTCTGCCGTTCCTCCAGGCGTCTCTGGCTAGTCAGGGTCTTTTCTGTTTTACAAGCTGGCTTGGCTCTGGCCACCTCATCCTTCTCCTTCATTTTTACCTTCTCTTTCTTTTCCTTCTTCACTTTTTCCTTCAGTTTTTCCTGCTTTATCTTTATCTTTTCTTTCTCAGCCTACCCATCAAGGGAGACAGGAAGCAAAGATGACAATGATATCACTCACCATCCTTCCTAGGCCCCCGGCCCTCCAGCCTCAGAGCCCAGAAATCAAACTGCCACACTCATCTTGCAAAGCAGGTTCGGTGGCTTTAAAATTAGCCTCAGTGGGGCTGGGGATGTAGCTCAGTGGCATGGCACCTGCCTGGCAAGTGCGAGGTCCTGAGTTCGATTCCCGGTTCCAAAAAAATTCAGCCTCAGCGAGCGTGGACCTCGCTGCACCTACCTTCAGTTTCTTCTTGGCATCCTTCTGTTTTAAGCTCTTGGTCTCCGGTTTCCGCTTGTTTTTGGCCTGTAAACCATAAGGGAAGTCATTTGTCCTGAAACCCTGAAAGCATCTCTGCTTGGGCTAGGATTCAAAAACAAACAAGGGTGCTGGGGAGGAGAGGTGGGAGATAGAATGATAAGGGGATGGCAATGGATTAATTCTCTCTCCCTACAGATGCCCACACTGTTCTTTTGTTTTGTTTTGTTTTGTTTTTTGTTTTTCTTCCGGTACCGGGCATCAAACTCATGACCTTGCGCTTGCCAGGCAACCACTGTGCCGCTGAGCTAAATCCCCAGCCCCTTGCATTGTTCTTGAATAAGCCCAATTTGCTAAACCAAGCCCAAGAGAGTTCAGGGCAATGAGTATGTTGTGCTATGCAGGGGGCAACAGATGTGGGAGATGGAAAAAAAGATGAAGTCGTAGGGAAAGTAAGCCCACTGGTGTCCCTCACCTGCCCTTGGGTAGGAGCCTGACACTCTCCCCTCTGTACCTTCTGCTTCATCTTCTTTTTGCTTTTACTCATCTTTGCTTTATCTTCCTCAGTCAATGTTTCTGTAAAGAAAAATGACATGAGTGAGGCAAAAAGATGGCTCTTTGGCACCCGGGCACCACATGCTGTTACAACGCTGGCCTCTCAAGTAAGTCCTTGAAAAATGCAGTTTTTTGTTTTGTTTTGTTTTGTTTGAGGGAGGGACTTGCTATGTACCTTCAGGTTGGTCTTAAACTTACTATGTAGTTTTGTTTTTCTTCCGGTACCAGGAATCGAACTCATAACCCTGCACTTGCCAGGCAGGTGGTTTTGCCACTGTGCTAAATCCCCAGCCCGCTAAACTTACTATATAGCCCAGGTTGGCCTCCAACTTGGAGATCCTCCTACCTCAGCCTCCCTGGTGCTGAGATTATAGGCATGTACCACCACACCTGGCTTTTTCCTTTTTTTAAATTTAAATTTCTGAGTTCTGGTACTGGGGGCTGAACACAGGGCCATCACACTGAGCTACATGTGCCGGTCCATTTTTCTGTTTTGTGACAGGGTCTCATTCTCTCAGTGACCCTCCTGCTTCAGCCTCCTAAGTGCTGGAATTAACAAGCATGAGCCGTCATGCCCAGAACCAGTCCTTTTTTACTTTGAGATAGGGTCTCATTAAACTGTCAAATTGCCCAGGCTGGGCTCAAACTTTCTATCCTTCTGCCTCAGGTTCCCAGAATTATGAGATTACAGGGTATACCACCACATCTATGTGTTTTGTTTTTAGGTATACATAATAAAATAGTGGGGGGAAAAATGTAGGAGAGGGGCACAAAGAACTCAAATGGGACTTCCTGCCCAGCGGCAGCAGCCCTTGTCTCCAAATGCACTGCTTTGGACGCGGTCTGGCTAACGAAAGAGGCCACAGCAATAGAACAGCCTTGTAGCTTCTCCCTCCCAGGCTATCTGACAAGTGCAGCAATGCATGGACTGATTTTAGTGCAGCAAGGGCTGAGAGCGGAGCCAGAGAGCCAAGCTGCCAGGGAAGAGGGTGTCAGGTGGTGGCAGGGCAGTGACACACTTCAGTCAGATCAGCACCAACACACTGCTGCTTATGCTCAGCTCTTCTGTCTTCTGGCTCCACCAAACAAACTGAATTTCTTTACTCTGGAAGACTAAATACTGAGGCACAGTTCTGGGTACTGTGTAATATTTTTGACCGGAGAGCACCTATTCTTTTGTTTCTGTTATAGAAATATTACCATTTATGTAGAAGGCAATCCTCAGTCAGACACATACGGGCAAATGAACTACTTAAGAATTCTCTTAAAATAAGGCATTCATCTGGACATGGTAGCACTCAGGAGGCTGAAGTAGGAGGAAACGCTGAGCGAGGAAGATAAAGCAAAGATGAGTAAAAGCAAAAAGACGACGAGACAGAAGGTACAACAGGGAGTTTGAAGCCAACCCAGACTACATAGTGAGTTTAGGGCCAACCTGAACTACCCTGTCTCAAAGAAAAAAGGAAGATATGAGACTTGTTCTAGGTCATGCAGTCAGAAGATGGTAGAGGTAAAACTCTGAATTGGAAGAAGAAAACAACATTTGTTCACATTTTCACACAGGGTAAACGCAATACTTACTGAAAAAACTTAAGACACTCTCCCCCATCCATCCCACTAAAGTAGTACCAATTAGCTTTTGAACTGACATGTGAATTGTGAAATCTCCATGACAGTGGTTGAGGAAGAGTGAACAAATGACATCAGTATAAATAAAGAACCAAAAAACAGGTAGGACAGGGCATGGAAATATAGAAATCCTCCCCTCTGAGGAATGTAATACATCTGGAGACATAAGGCTTCATTAATAAGACCAATTCCAGGAAGAAACTGACTGCAAAGCAAGTACCCAAAGTGCTGGGACCCTGATGTTATCTTACAAGGAGAAGCTGATTGAAATTCTTCCCACATATCAGTCAAACGCTTCGGAAACCCTGGTATTAGCAATTTAGTAACATTTCAGATACGCAGAATCTCGAAGTAAAACATGCTACTATACCTTGGGCCTCCAGTTTCTTTGGGAGACGGTTGTCTGTCTTATTGATTAGCTCGGGGATTTTGACCTTGGGGGGCCGACCTCGGCCCCGTTTCACCTTGGGGACTTCCTTGCTCTTTGCCTTCTCGTTGTTTCGAGGTCGACCCCGTTTGCCAGTAATTGCTTGAATCCTGGATGGAATCTCTTCTGCTGAGAGCTGAACCCACCGTAGGCCCTAAGGTGGCAGGAAGACTGTTACAATAGCGAAGTCCACTAGACTCTCTAAACCATTTAAGGCCCCCCCAAGTTCCAAACTCCACAAGAAGAGGCTGCAGCTTGCCCATCAACTCTTTCAGGGAACAAAATATATTTAACCCTTAGGCCAGCACCTCTGGTGTGTCTCTCTCTTCAAAGAAATCTCCAACAGGCATGCGAGGGCTGAAGCTGAAGTGCTCACGACGCACACTGTGTACCACATTGCGGCTCAGGTACTGAAAGAAGGAAGTTAATCAATGTTAGTGAGTCTTAACTGTGTCTCTGGCTGGGACTGGCACAAGCACAATAGGCCCCAGAGTAGGTAATGCCAAGCTGCATCATGACGCTCAGAAAGGAGTGTGCGCTACCTTTAAAAACACCCCTAAAGGCTGTGTTACCTTGATCACTTCTGGGAACTGTTTCATCCTCTTCCCACAGGGGCCGTAATACCAGGTCTCCCCCTGCCATCGATGGCTGCCCTTCTTGATGCGCACCTCTCTCCGCCACCTGCCAGAGAAGCACATGGGCCCTGCCACCAGGTCACACCCTACCCACTTCCAAGCCACCCAGGAGCCAAGCCCACTGAGCAGATGACCCTCCCATATCCGTCTCGCTAGTACTGCATGCAGATGCGAAAGCAGCATAGGAGATGAACTTGACTAAAAAGCCGAACTGAGTTCCCACAAACACCGCAGGAGGAAAGTAGTACATTAAACCATACAAGCCTAGAAAGACCTCTAAGGCCAGGGATATAGCTCAGAGGCACAGCACCTTAAGGTCCTGAGTTTGATTCCTGGCGCACCCCCCCATAAAAAAAAAAGTGAGCCTCAAAAGACCTCCACCTACAAAGTCTGTGAAATGAACAGCCAGAAACCCCTCCCACATATCATTCAGGGCAACTGTACTGAACTGCCAGTAAAGGAGAAAAACCTAGGGGAGTAAGGGTAGAAGAAAGAGGTGGGGAGGCAGGCTGAAGAGTGAACTCCCTGCTGACTCCATGAAATGACTTAGCAGGCCAGGGTTTCCTTAAGAACTCCATGTTCTGAGTCAGATTCCTGTTAAGTCTAAGCTTTCCCTCTCTTTCATACTGTAAGTCATAATACTCAGCCTTGGTGACTATAAGCAGCCTAGAGGGGCTGGAGTGGGGAAGACAAGGCAAGGTAGCTACTTCCACAAAGCTCTACTGTCCGCTGGCTGGCTATTCTAATTAACTTACTGTCACAGTGTTTATCTCTCCAGAGAGCGGTACAACAAAACCCACCACCATAACAAAACTACCCCGATTCATTGTTCATAAGCCACTCATTACGACCTCTGCTCTACGAAGCTGGGCAAGGCAGCTAGTTTGGGTATCTGAGACTCAGGGTTTGGCAAAGAAAACAGCTGGAGCCCTTGATCATGGCTGAGTCATCATAAGACCCCGAGAAGCAAAATCTAGGAATCCTATGCCAAGGAACACTATAATTACAGATAACTACCCTGTTATCTACCCCTATCTAGCCAATTTCTCCCCAAACTAAGGAAAGAGGAGCTCCCCTGTTCCTATAGTCATGCATTATTCCAGGTCAATGCATGTAACAACCTAGAGCATTTACCCATGTTGGAGGGGAAGACGAACTTCTTCTGGAGTAGCAATGCGTCTCCTCAGGACATCAGCTTGGAAGGAAGATGGGATACCCAGGTTAGGAGCCCAAGAACAGTATTAAAATAACAGGCTAGGGGCTGGGGATTTAGCTCAGCGGCACAGTGCCTGCCTGGCAAGCGCAAGGTCCTGAGTTTGATTCCTGGAACCGGAAACAAAAACCAAAAACCAAAACCAAACAAAAAAAAAACCAGGCTAGTGGAGGAAGGCTGATATACATGCAGCAGGAGCAACTACTCCCTCCCTTCCCACTCTCACCCCACCAACTCTCAGTGTACTGGGGGCTGAATTGAAGGCCTGTGTACTGAGCTACATTCCTAGCCTTTTAAAAATTTATTTTGAGACAAAGTATTGCTAAGTCACTCTGACTGGGTTTGAACTTGTGATCTTCCTGTCTCAGCCTCTCAGAGCATCGAGATTACATGCATGTATCATACCCAGTTGTAACACACTTTTCTGGGAACCAGTCAGAGGTCAAACAGAATCTGGACACTTACCACTACCAGAAGTAGTCACTGCTTCTCCCGTGATCTCTTCCAGGTCTTCATGGAAGCTGCTGACATCTTTATTTGCTGGGGAGGCAGAAGCTGGGGAAGTTACAGGGCAGGGTTTTGGGGAGCTCACTGGAACTGTCAAGGCAACTTCCGCAGAGACTGCTGGGAGGACTGCTGAGGAGCTGGGTGAGACCACTGGGCAAGCCGCTGGGGAGAGACGCGGAGAAGCTGCTGGAGAAACTGACAGGGAGACATCCGGGGAGGCTGCCCGGGAGGCTGTTGGTGAGAGTGCTGGTGAGGCTACCGGATGTAGCTGAATTTGAATCGTGGATGACTGCTCAGGGGGTGGCTGGGTCAGGGTTGGTGGGAAGTCTGAACCCTGAGTCTCCATTTCTTCCTGTTCAGCATCGCTGCCATTATTCAGGTCAAAGCTGTTATCTAGGACCCAAGGGGACAGAGTGAGTAAAGGAAAAATGGCATCCCATCAAACAATCTATTTAATCAAGTCTAGATTCAGCTAAACATGGCTACTTAAGGGCTTTGTCCTAGGGTTTGAGAAAGCAACTCTGGTTTTACTCCCCCAAATATTTATAAAGGATAAAGGGCAAAACTTCTACTCTAATTATGTAAGTATCTTTTATCTGAAGCCAGGACAGGAAGGTATCTGGCCTCCACCCTGCAAATCGCAAGGCTCACCAGTTCTTCTGGACTGAGGACACAGGAAAGAGTACAGTGGTCCATGCCTTTCTTAGTCTCACTAAGAGGGGCAGTATACTGCCCCATAAGCCCTCAAGCTCCCGCCAGGTACTCCTACAGACTTCCTACCTATTTCTACCACCCTAGCTATGGGGAACCTATTCTCTCATTTTTTTGCAGGTCAAGAACTTCTTCTTGTCCTGCCTCTCCTCACTTACCTTGCAGAACAGACTCCCCTAAGACGGGTGGAGAAGCAGGGCTGGCAAAGATAGAAGCTGAGGTTTGGCTGTCATCGGCCAGGAGACTGAAGGCAGTGGCATTATTGAGGGAAGGGCAATCAAGGGCAGAGATCACAGGACTATCCTCAAGAGGGAGCTTGTCCTCTGCACCCATCAGTTCTGTGTCATCTATACCATAAAGTCCTCCACTCACTGGCTCTGTATATGGGGTGGAAGAAAAAAATCAGCAGGCTACTAAGGAAAAATTAGAAAGCAAGATTTCCTCAAGAAATACTAGCTTGGGCAGCGAGATCTAGCTCAGTGGCGCAGCGCCTGCCTGGTAAGCGCGAGGTCCTAAGCTTGATTCCCGGTATGATCATCTCACCCCCCAAAAAATGGAAAAAGAAATACTGGCTTGGTGGTGATATATGCCTGTAATCTCTGCATTCTTGGAGGCTGAGGCAGGAGGATTTCAAATTAAGAGCCCAACTTAGGCAATTTAGTGACTTAGCAAGACCCTAACAGGGGGCTAGGGATTTAGTTCAGCAGCATAGTGCCTGCCTGGCAAGTGCGAGGTAGTGAATTCAATTCCTGGTACGGTGGGGGGGACCACACCATATCGGTAGGTAGGTAGGTAGATAAGGAAGAAAGAAAAAGAAAGGCAGACAGACAGATAAGACAGACAAACAGAATATACAGTTCAGTGCAAAGGTCCTCACGTCAATCCCAGCCATTAAAAAATAATAATAATAAATAAACCAAAACAAAACTGGCCTGAAAAATACTCGATTCTAGGCCACAGGTAATAGAATATGTCTATAATCCCAGCACTTGGAAGGCTGAGGCAGGAAGATCACCAACCACAAGTTTAAGGCCAGCCTGGACTATATAGCAAGACCCTGTCTCAAAGTCCAGTTCTAGTTTCACAGGGTGCAGATTCTTTCTAAAATTAAATTAGGGAAAATACACAATATACAGCACTTTAAAAGAACTGGCCAGGCATGTTGGTGCACACCTGTAATCCCAGCACTCTGGGAGGCTGAGGGAGGAGGATTACAACTTTGAACTCAATATGGGCAACTTAGTGACTTAAGGAGGCCCTGTGTCAAAATTTACAAAAAAGTGGAGGGCTGGGGCTGCACACTTAGGGCACTGGGAATATAGCTTCACAAGAAGATTGTGGGTTAAATACCAGTACAGGAGGAAAAAAACAAAAAAAAAAAATACCAGAGTAAAGTCATTACACTGTAAAGATCATAAACTTTTTTTCTTTCTTTTTTTTTTTTTTTTCCTGGTACCGGGAATCGAATTCACGACCTCACGCTTGCCAGGCAGGCGCTGTGCCGCTGAGCTATATCCCCAGCCCCATCATAAACTTTCTGACGTATGGGGCTGGGGCTATAGATCAGTGGCATAAGTGCCTCTGGCAAGCACAAGTTCGTGAGTTTGATCCCCAGTACCGCAAAAAAAAAAAAAAAACCCACAAAAAACAAAAAACAAAAAATCTGACATGAAAAGTGAAAAAGCATTGACCATAGAACCTTGCAAAGTTATAGTATTTATCATAAAATATGCCTTTCCTATACATTAGTGTGGTAAAAAATTATTGTTCATTGGCAAATGTCTTCTTTCTAGTTAAGTGAGAACCCAAATAGCCCAACTGTGTGCTGGTTAAGTACATATTCAGTGAATTATTACAGCTCAGGGCTCTTGGCCAAAATGAACACTGGGAAAGAACTTGGGAAATGAACCAATTCAGCTCAGAGGGCAGCTGGCCCAGCCAGGCCAGGGGCACATAACTGTGGTCTGCCACTGGATTATACGGAAGCCTCAACACCCCAGACTCCCTCACATGTTCCCTGGTTTACTTTCTCTTCCAGGTGGCAGAAACTGGCTACCCTCTGCTTGTAAGTGAAAGACCCAGCCTTAGCCCACCTGGTGCAAGAGAGTCAAAGGGCTCAAGAGAGTCTTCACTGAGGATCGGAGTGTCTTCTAGTTGATCAGGAAGGTGTGAAGGGTCATCTAAACAGCTTACTGTGGGGTCAGGAACCAGGACTGAGACCTCTTGGTGTAATGACTCCACAGAGGGGACAGAACCATTGTAGCCACACATCTTTAGTTCTAGGGAATTCCAGGAGAGAACAAAAGTCAAAATCAGTACCTTCAACTACTTCATTTAGCTATACCAAGTAGTTAAACTGTGCTACAAGGATGTTCATTCACTCAAAATATATTGCTGCTAGGGTGCCAGTTCTATGTTGTGAACTAATCACATCAGGACACTCTAAATGGGTAGAGATGTGTGGATAAAATCAATCCTGCAGCAGGGAAAGAGAGGGGAAAGGAGTGAGGGATCTGAGACAAGAACCCAGTCATGTTCGCAGACATCTTCTCCAATGAATAGGAACAGAGGGAACACATCCTATGATTTTATAGGATGGTCCCCCTTATACTGGGAATCCCTTTGCAAGTTGATCTTTTGAGGGAAATTATGAGAGGCTTTGTCACATGTAGTACTACTGCTAACAATAAAAAAGAAGTAAAATTGAGTACATAAGCAACGGTATATTCTGCTTGCTTCTTTCCATCCTTCACATGCCAATCACAACTAGGGCTCAGCTGACTTTAGCAACCACTTACTTGGTCATGCCTTAGTCAAAAGGGCCTCATTGCCTACTGCTAATATCCTAACTCTTTCATGTTGTGGAAGAAGCTTTTCTTGATGCAGAGTATCTGTTGGGGCTGTTTGAGACTCGCCCACCTGCCCTCTCCAGGCCAGCAGCTCTGCATGAGCTTGAAATAATGTGTACTCCCACTCTCGAGCTGGTGCTGCAGCCACAAAAACACCAGCCACTTGGCTCTGCTAATCACCAACATGCAAATCAGCCTCCACTGCAGAGAGCTGGGAAGACAAGTTTTCCTCACCTCCAAAAGCCACTGTCTCCCACAGCTCCACATTCCCTCTCCCCATCCAGCTCAAAGACCCAGTTATACCTGGTGGCTCTTCTTCCAGCTCCAGGCTGCCTACCAAGCCAGTGCCGTTCTCTGCCACGACCGAAGTCAGCTCCTTTTCTGCTGCCTCATCAGGGTGGATCACACTGCCTACCTCCTGGGAAGGCGCAAAGGTCTGGACACTAGATCCCAACATAGGAGAAGTCTGTGGGGAGGTGAAAAAACCTGGGGGTCCATTGGGCATCACCTCAAAATTCTGGTCAGGAAAGGAATCATACAGTTCCTGTGAGTCGAAGTTAAGCCCCATCGGGCTCTGGGTGCCGTTGCCCCAGAACTCTTGGCTCCCAGCTCGAAGGTTAGTGTTGTGACTTGGGGATGAAGGCTGTCGGCTGCCCCCAAGAATGCCGTTGAGTGGGTACTGTCCCCCCGAGAACTGGGAGAGAAGGGGTGGGTCCTTGAGGTTGCTGCCAGGATTGGCAGATGGGTACTGTGAGTAGTTCCAGAGACAGTCATAGGCCACATTGGGGTGATGGAGGTGTGAGGTGCTGGAGGAGTGGGAAGCAGAGTTCAAAATCCCTGAAGTAGTAGTGTGAGATACAGTAGATAAGCCATTAACATTCACATCCCCATTCAAACCTGGCAGAGAAGGAGAGAAAAGGATCAGTTATGGATATACATACAATTCTATCAAAAGAACCCCAATGTAATAGGACTGACTAGAAAAAGGGAAGGTGAACAGGAGGGGGAGTCCCCCTGTTATATTTAGCTTTTAGGTCTCTGGGGAACACAAAACCCAGATGCTCCTGAATGTGAGCTTAGCAACTGCTGCTGAGACTGCTGAGTAGGGGGCACCATGGGAGCCACCAGCAGTGAGCTGGCTGCTGCTGCTCCCTTTTCACTAAGTGAAGCTGTCTGCAGACTCCCTACAGTGACTCGCACTCTTCCTCCTCTCCCTCCCTAGAGGAATTCTTCCCTTAGAGGGGCATGACTACGTTTTCTAGGTACCCCTCACCCCAGTGCCTATTTGGCCCCACAGTGGCACCAGAAGGGACAGCCTCCACCTCACTGGCACATGCAGATCCAGCACTTTGTGCTGAGCTAAGAATAGAATTTGCAGTCACCACAGTGACAAGATTTCAGCTCGGAAGGCTGGGCTTATCCCTCCCTATAGGCTCTGGACGGTAACATGCAGGGGGTAAAAATCTCTGCATGACCAGTGCTGCAGAGTTCAGTTCTCAACACCACTGGCACCCTCTGGGACGATGGATAACAATCAAGTGAAGGGAAACAAGGAGGCTGGGGACAGGGGCAAGGGAGGGAACCCAGTGAAAATAGACAGGAGGATAAGTGGCAAATATAAGCCTGTATTTTTCTCTGCTGAAGGGACAAAGGAAAGTATGGGGGCTTCTTTCTGCTTCTAAACATAAAGGACTTGAAACCCAAGCAAGATTAAAGACGTACTTCATAGAGTCGTGCTACGGAGTAACTGAGAAACCATATCCAGTAAAAGACCTAATTAGGGCAGCAGCACTTCCATCTGGAATTATGAATTTCTCTCTGGGCAAACTAGGGACACGCTATATCCTTCCTTGTCCCTACCTTCTATCCGAGGACAGGAGGTGGTACAGGTACTTCTACCATCTATCTGTTGTGTTCTCTGCTCTACAAACTACTGTAAAAGGAAAACACATCCCAACTTTCTCCTACCTTTCTTCACCCCTAGTGCTGGCCGGAAACAGCTTCTCCAACTTCTAAAAACAGCTTAAGGCTGATCCTTTACCTCTTTTGCATGGATATATCCTGGTGGTCAGCAGCAGTAGCCACCTCACCACTCCGAGCAACAGCCAGCACACAGTGTTAACACAAGAACAAGGTAAGATGAAAAAGCCAGTATGTTCTTCTAATACCTTTCAACTTTAAGTCAAGACTAAAAATGTTGTTTCTATAAACCCTTAAAACTTCTTAGAGGTCTGATTTCTCTCTGGCAGCTGGAGTTCTTTGGACTCACTTCCTCCTTCCCTACCTGGCAGCGAAGAGTTGTTGTTATGGGATCGCTAGCCTAAAGTGGAGGCAAATCTCTTCCCATCAGTCTGCTCTGAAGAAATGATGCCCATTCCCCTCCCCAGGCCCTGTGGGCCTCACACTCACTTTTCCCTTGCTGGGGGAAGTTCATGGGGGACCCGTTAGTGTAGCGGCCCTCCCCTGAGGGAGAGGGTCTCAGTCCTGAGGCAGCAGGCGCAGGGGGAAGGCCAGTAAAGTTAAAATGGTCGTTTGCCTCCATTTCTGTGGGAGGGGAGAGAGAGAGGAAGAAAAAATACTGGTGGTTAAACAAGGTAATGTCACTAGGAATCTCCTAGAGAGAATGTCCCCCCTGCCCTCCCTCTACTTAAGGTTGAGAAAGAAAAGGATGAAATACGCCCCTAACCTGGGCAATGATTCTACAGAAATAAGTCTTTCAGTTAACTTTACAGTGACTTAAAAAAAAAAAAGTGACAATAATCAGCACACAAGCCTGGGAGTCTACCCAACACAGGCAACCTTATCGCTCTGTTAGATGTTAGCCCCCTACTTTAATGTTCAACATTCTCTATCTTTTGTTTTTCTCAAGGTAAGGCCCATCCCCAGAATCCACAAAAAGTTCTTCAAGTCGTATTTGTGACCAGAAGCCGTGGTGATGGAGGTATTGGCAGGAAAAGCATATTTATATACATCCCACTTTGTCTTTATTACGCTTGAGTGAAGCAGCTTGTCTATTATCCCATCCATAGCCCCAAACATCTGAAGACAGTACAATTACATGAATAAATGGATTTGAAAATGAAAATACACTTCAGTAAAAAGTAAACAAATTATGGCACAAAAAAACAAATCAGTGATATTCTACTGTTTTTTTATTTTGTGATGTTGGGGAGGGAATGAACCTAGGACCTCACACACATATGCTAGGCGAGCACTCTCTCCAGAACTCCTACCTCACCCAACCCCACTATTCTACTTCTTATTCACAAGAAATAGCATGCTCTTCAAGAACACAGGTCAGAAAAATGTCAGCAATGAAACAGGAGAGTGTCAGGTGAGCTGGGCATGGTGGCACATGCTTGTAATCCAGCACTTTGGAGGCTGAGGCAGGAGGATTGCAGCTAGTTTGAGGTGAGCCTAGGATACAAAGTGAGTTCAAGGCCCATCTGAACTACACAGTGACACCCTGTCTCAAAAAAGTGTCAGCTGAGTGATGGTACATACCAATAATCCCAGCACGCACGGAGGCTGAGACAGGACGATCCCAAGTTCAAGCACAGCCTGGGCAACTTAGTTATTCTCTTTACTGTGGTAAATTTCTGTTGCTTTTATTTCTAACTATGGTAATTTTCTAATACTTTGGTTTTGTGGCTTAGATATTAATGGTCATGGAGATAATAGTGAGATGCTTATTATTTCTGAGGCACAGTGGCTCACTGAGGGGCAGTAGAGTAAAAAGCTTTCATTCTGCTAAATATAATATAGTAGGAATGACAAGAAACAAAGCCCTTGATCAAAACTAATTTTAACTTTGACAGAACAAAGAGAAGAGAGAAGACAGGAAGCAGAAGCCAGAATTACTGGTAAAATCTGACATTAATCCGATACTTGTGGTATACTACTGCACTGTAACTTCAATCATGAGAAAATCTGTCTTGATGCAGAAAAAGCAGCTCCATAGACCTGTTACCATGTTTTTAAGGGCAAGACAATGCACACAGAAAGATTTACCAAGTTCCCAAGAAAAGGTAAATAAATAGATCGCAGGTGATGTTTTAATCAAAATTCTAAAGAGAGAAGTAGCTGGGCATGGTGGCATATGCCTGTAATCCCAACACTCAGGAGGCAGAGGCAGGAGGATCTCCTAGCCTGGGCTACATAAGCATGTTCAAGGCCAGTCAGCACTACACAGTGAGATCCTCTCCCTCACCCCCCAAAAAAGAGATGAATAAATTCAGAATGGGTTGAAGGGAGGGTAGGGGAGTTGGGGGGGGAGACAGAGACAGAGAGAGAGAGACAGAGATGGAGAAAGAAAAAAGGAAGGAAGGGAGGGAGGAATGGAGGGAGGATAGAGGGAGGAAGAAAATATATGACTACTCACTGGCCAATGCTGCAAATACACACTGCAAATGAGACACCATCAGGTGTTATGTATTAGGTCAGAAAATACAGTGAACGTCTATACTTCAGTAAAAGACACATTGCCATAAACCCCCTCAAACACACCTATCCTGTCATTCTTAATATTTTCTGAAGCAGTTCTGGGAATTCTCTTTCAATTCTTTTTTCCTGGCTGCCTCCATGTCCTGAATCAATTCAAAACATTTATCTTTCAAGATCATTCTGATTTTGGAAAAGAGCTAGAAGTCACATGATGCTACATCTGGTGAATAAGGATAAGGCGGGTGAGGACACAGGTAATGTTTTCATGTGCCTGCCGTTCTGTTACGTGGTATGTGGCAGCAGCATTCACTATATTTTTTAATCACACCTTATAAGGGGCTGGGGATTTAGCTCAGCGGCATAGCACCTGCCTGGCAAGCACAAGGTCGTGAGTTTGATTCCCAGTACCGGAAAAAAACAAACAAAAATCATACCTTACAAAGGCACTTACAAAAGCAATTCTAGAACTGCTTCACTAAGTGGCAAGAGTGGCCGGGCCTGGTAGCACAGGCCTGTAGTTCCAGCAGTCTGCGAAGCTGAGGCAGGAGGAAGTCTGAGCCCAGCCTGCGCAACTTAGAGACTTAGCAAGATCCTATCTTAAAATGATAAATAAGCTGGGGATATAGCTCAGTGGCGTAAACACCTGCCTGGCAAGCGCAAGGTCCTGAGTTCAATTCCCAGTACCATAAATAAATAAATAAATAAAATGATAAATAAAAAAGGGCTGGAGATGTAGCTCAGTGAAAAGACCCTGGGTTCAAGTACTAGTATCACACACACCAAAAAAGGGGCAAGAACGATGGCATCAATGTGTTCAAAGTAAAGGGGAGCATTGTGAGGGGAGTTAGCGGCAATGCCTTTTACTATAATTTTTTAAAAATTCTGAACATTCACGGTACATTCTGATCACTCCACATATGTGTAAAGAACATAATTCTGAGCAAGAATTATAAAACCTGTATAAAAAAACAGTATAAAACAGTATATGGCATGGTAATTATAGAATTTTATAAAACAGTATATGGCATGATAATTATAGAATTTTCTAGACTATCATAATTATCTCTGCCTTAAGAAATTATAACTAGGCCAGGTGTGGTGGTGCAAGCCTGTACTCCCCAACTCTGAAGGCTGAGGCAGGAGGATCGTTGGGAGTTCGAGACCAGCCTGGGCTACAAAGTGAGCTCAAGGCCAGCCTAAACTGCATAGGGAGACCCTGTCTCAAAACCAACAACAACAACAACAAAAAACTAAAATTAAAGAAATAAAAAGTAATTTTGTGTTTTACTGATTTAAGAAAAAAAATTTTAAGACGCTTATATTCCAAATAGGATTTCCTGTCTTCCCTTTTTAAATGAATAGCACACCTCAACCTGCTGTGCATTAATGGAAAAAAAAAAAATCTCTATAGAGAAGACCTCATGGTTCACCAGGATTTCCCTATTACAGTTAAATGGCACTCAACGGTAGGGGATCTGAAAAATAAACATCATAAAGTTAAACATCCCTCTCAATAAAAGACAAAAAGGAAAACTCATTCATTCCCTGATCTATAGGGTAGGGTCCTTCCAAAGCTCATCCTATAGAAAGGAGAATCAATAGTTCACTTCAGAAATCCTGAAAATGCCATGCTTGGAGAACCACTTTCATCTGATATCCACCTCTCCTGTTCCCCAGTTTTACGTACAGCTGTGTTTCTCATCTGGTGGAGGGGATGCACACATGCACACATACACCCCCAAAAAACCACACACACCCCTTTCCTCCTAAGTACTCTGGACTGTACCCTCCTACTCAATGATGAACCACAGCTCATTTTTCCATTCTCTACCTGAATCCCCAAGGAAACTAGCAATTTCTCTCTGTTGCTCTGGAAAAGCACAGCATATCCCGTCTCATAAATTACATACTAGTAACAGTAAGTGGACAGCTCACAGAAATCAGAGAAGTAAAAGGAATAGGAAGTTACCTAGTGCCTGGTCTGCTTCCCCACCTTCCCCTACTGAAGGGTCACAGGAACCACAATCACTTCATTTACAAGCTTCATAGACACACAGAGTACTCTGTGCTGTTCACTGAGGTCAGCACAATGCAGTAGGCTCTAGGTTCATCGCCCAGCTCTACTATTTACTACCTTTTTTATGAGACAGGGTCCCGATATGCAGTTCAAGCTGGCCTTAAGCTCACTTTGTAGCCCAGGCTGGCCTCAAACTCGAAATGATCCTCCTGCCTCAGCCTCCCGAGTGCTGGGATTACAGGCGTGCACCATCATGTCCAGCTTATTTACTACCTTTCTGACCTTGGACAAGTTACTTAAACTTGGTGAGATTAAGTTTTGTCATCTGGAAAAATTTTAGTACACACTTCCAGGGCTTGTGAAGATTAAATGAGAAAATCCATATAAAAGTACTAACACTCAATATGTTAGTTATTATTATTAGAGTATAAAAAGAATGCTTACATTGGGGCTGGGAATGTAGCTCAGCAGCAAAAGCGCCTGCCTGGCATGCGCAAGGTCGAGAGTTTGGTTCCGGTACCGGAAAAAGACCAAAAAAAGAATGCTTACATTACAAAATGATAATCCACTCCAAAGCTCTAAATATACTAGAAATATTAATTAATTTGCACCGGGAATCAAACTCAGGATGCTGCTCTTGCTAGGCAGGCCCTGCACTACTGAGCTATATCCCCAGCCCCTAAAAATAGAATTTAAAACCATTAACAGAATGGGACATAATTCACTAGGGAAGATCCACCCAAATTTCCTTATATCCGACTTGACTCTTGATTTCTGCTATTATTTGAATATGGGATCACAATGAAAATGTGAACAGCTCCTCTCAATAAACAGGATTATTTCACTTCTATTTTCCTACCCAAGATGCTTTTCATAATAAAGCCTGAAGGTAAACTCTGTCCTCCAACCCAGTGCTAGTAAGAACAGTAAAGCCGAAGAGGGTGTCTCCCTTTGAACTAGCAGGATTTTTGCCAAATGAAAATCACTTAGTGCCCAACCCCCACAGTAGCAGACAACTCTCCTGACCAGGAAGTACAATCAGGCAAGCACCCAGCCCAACCCCAGCTGTACACAGATGGGTCTCTTAAGAGCCCCAGTGTTGCTGGTGCATACCTGTAATCCCAGCACTCAGGAGGCTGAGGCAGGAAGATCACTATGAGGTCAAGGTCAGCCTGGGCTACATCATGAGGCCGTGTCTCAAAACAAATAAAAGGGACATTGCCCCTTAATCTGGAGGTAGGAAGGCACTTACTACATGCTCAAATGGGATGCTTTTCTCTCAGTTGCAATCAAAAAACTTCTATTCTGTGGGCCTATGACATGATTTTAACAAAAAAAGGCTGACAATACATATTATAGATTTATAATTTATACATTAAATATTACAGATTTGACACTATTGCAGGTGTCCTGCCCAACCAATTCTAACCTGCAAGCCTCTAAGGCCAGCCCCAGAAATAGAGGAGACTCATCAAGACCCTCCAGCTGGATACTTTGGTAGTCCCTGGCGCACTCTGGTTGATTCCTCTCAGTAGTCCACCAAAACTCCAAGTGAGGGAGGTTTCTAATTTGAGAAGAGAGGGTGGGCTCAGACTTTTAAATGTTTATCCTGACTAAACAGCAAAGGCAAATTCTACTGTATAGTAAGTA